CGTGATGCTTGTGGGGGAAAGCCCCCGGGAGCCCTGCAGGTGGATTAGGGGACCTGCAGCCAGCCAACCTCTATATGGGGCGGCGTCGGTGGGGGTGGCAGAGGTGGCGCCCACCCGGAGTGACTGCCAGAGGTTAAACCTCAGGCGGGCTGTCAGGGTGGGGGCTTGGAACGTCCGTTCCCTGCGACAGGATGATCGGTTACCACTACTGTCGAGGGAATTGAAGCGGCTGAGAGTTGAGGTGGTTGCTCTCTCGGAGGTGAGAAGACCTGGCAGCGGCACGATTAGTGTGGGTGGCTACACTTACTACTGGTCGGGCCGCAGCGATGGCCACCATCTCCAGGGAGTAGCCATAGCCATCTCCAGCCGACTTCAACCCTCGGTAGTAGAGGTCACTCCAGTCGATGAGCGTATAATGGTATTGAGACTGAAGCTGTCATTTGGCTTCATGTCTCTTATTGCTGTGTACGCTCCTACGGATGTATATAAACTTGAGGTGAAAGAGATGTTCTACACCAAACTTGCATCTGTGGCAGACAGTTGTCCTCGGCGAGATATTCGTATTGTTTTGGGCGACTTCAATGCGGTATCCGGATGTGATCGAGCTGGCTACGAGATGTCTGTCGGTCCCCATGGCTCAGGAGCTGATGCTGGCAGCGAGAATAGCCTCCTTTTCCGTGACTTTGCTAGGTCCCAGAAATTGAGGATTTCTGGCTCCTGGTATCAGCGTTCTGACCCGCATCGCTGGACTTGGTACAGCGATACGGGTAGGGTGGCCAAGGAAATCGACCACATCCTCGTCAGCACTCGGTGGAGGATCCTCCAGAACTGCAGGGTGTATCGAAGCGCCGAGTTCTGTGGAACTGATCATAGATTAGTTGTGGCTACTCTCCGGGTCCACTTTAAAACCCCCCGTCGACCAAATGAGCACCCCAGGGTGTTTCATCTGGACAGACTGAGGGAGGATGAGTGTGCCCGGGGGTTTGCTGAGGCTATCTCTGGTCGGTTCACAGCACTCGAGGGCCTGACGGATCCTGTTGTTATGTGGGATTCCTTCAAGCGTGAAACGCTTGATGCAGCTCAGGAATCCATTGGTGTACGCAAGACAGAATACCATCTCGCAGGAGACACTGGAAGCCACAGAAGCTTGCCGTGCAGCTCGATTGTCAGGGGATCGCAATTTGCACCGTTCTCTGGCGCGCAGGACTAGGTCACTGCTGAGAAGGGATAAGGAACAGTATATCAGTAATCTTGCAGAGGAGGTCGAAAGCCGTTTCCTAGTAAATGACCTTCGTCCTGCCTACCAAGCCCTGAGAAAGCTGAACTCCAAGCCCTCCTCACAGACGACGGCAGTCCGCTCAGCGAGTGGTCAGGTAATCACAGATCCTGATGGGGTGCGTGTGCGTTGGGCTGAGTATTTTGAGCAGCTGTATCAGGTTGATCCGCCAACAGTTAACTTGGATGCTGGGAATGTTGAGACTCCTCTGCCAGACCCACTCATCAGCGAGGATCCACCCTCCCTGACTGAAGTCAGGGGGGCGATCTCCAAGCTGAAGAGTGGTAAAGCAGCAGGTGTCTGTGGCATCCCAGCTGAATTGTTAAAGGCTGGTGGAGAACCTATGGCAAGGGGCTTGCATGCAGTCCTGTCTGCCATCTGGCAGACCGGTACCATTCCCCCTGACCTACTGAGGGGTATGGTCATCCCTCTCTGGAAGGGGAAAGGGGATCGGTGGGACTGCAGCAATCACCGAGGCATTACACTGCTCAGTGTGCCAGGCAAGGTACTCGCCCACATCTTACTGAGACGTATCAGAGACCACCTCCTGAGGCACCAAAGACCGGAGCAATCTGGATTCACTCCTGGTAAGTCCACAATAGACCGCATCCTGGCGCTTCGAGTCATTGTAGAGCGCCGTCGTGAGTTCGGACGTGGGCTGCTTGCAGCCTACATCGACCTCAAGAAGGCGTTTGACACGGTGCATCGCGAATCACTCTGGGAGATCCTGAGACTGAGAGGAATTCCAACAAGGATTGTTGGGCTAATAGCAAACTGTATACAGGCACTGAAAGTGCTGTAAAGTGTGGTGGGGGCCTGTCGAGCTTCTTTCCTGTTAGTTCAGGCGTGAGGCAAGGCTGTGTCCTTGCACCAACACTTTTCAACACTTGCATGGATTGGATACTGGGTAGAGCTACTGTCCAAAGTCACTGTGGAGCAACTCTGGGCAATATCAAGGTTACAGACCTTGACTTTGCTGATGATGTTGCCATTCTTTCTGAATCTCTGGAAACCCTAGTGGCGGCTCTTGATGCATTTAGCAATGAAGCGAAGCCCCTGGGGCTAGAGGTCTCCTGGACCAAGACCAAGATCCAGGATTTTGGGGGCCTACTAGGAGACCCTGTGCAGTCGGTCCGTGCTTGCGGTGAAAACATCGAAGTCACTAGGAGTTTTATATACCTCGGTAGTGCAGTTCATGACTCTGGGCTGTCAGACCAGGAAGTCAGTAGACGGATTGGCCTGGCAGCAGGGGTCATGAAATCTCTCGACAAGAGTATTTGGAGATGCCGGTACCTGTGCAGAAGGACCAAGCTACGAGTTTTCAAGGCCCTGATACTGCCAGTTTTACTTTATGGTAGTGAAACTTGGACGCTATCTTGTGCTTTGGAATCTCGTCTCGATGCCTTTTGTAACAGATCCTTGCGCCGGATCATGGGGTACAGTTGGCGGGACCATGTGTCCAACCAACAGCTACACCGTGAGACCGGTACAGGACCTGTTACTTGCACAATCCGTGATCGCCAACTCAGGCTATATGGCCACTTGGCTCGACTCCCGCAGGATGATCCTGCCCATCAGGTTGTCTCTGTTCGAGACAACCCTGGGTGGAGGAGGCCTGTGGGACGACCAAGAAGGTCATGGCTTGGGCAGATCGATCAAACCTGTCGTGAGGAACTAGAGATGGGCCGGGCCCCTGCCTGGCGGCTCGCCATGAGAGACCCTCGCAGGTGGAAACGAAGGGTGGACGCGGCTATGCGCCCCTACCGGCGTTAGCCCCCAAATGATGAATGATGATGATATATATATATATATATATATATATGTGTGTGTGTGTGTGTGTGTGTGTGTGTGTGTGTGTGTGTGTATGTATGTATACATATATATATATATATATATATATATATATATATATATACTGCATATGTATAAACTGTGTATACAGACACACATACATACATACACACACCTACACACACACACAAACACACACACACACACACACACACACACACACACACACACACACACACACACACGTATGTATATATATATAAGCACATACATATACACTATATACACACATACCCACACGCACAAACCTACAACTACAATATCTTATGCAAAGAATGGAACCCCAACAAGCCTAAGGAATACTAAGTCTGGCACAGGACTTGGATTAGAAAGTACTCGGCTCGACAGAATAAACCACAGACTTGCAGAAACATCAGTAAGGGAACTACGAAGCTTCGAATTACTACGTGAGACTCAGCATGACTTGCAGTCTTCCTCTTCGTTCCTTCGCTTTCTAGACCAAATACAAAACTATCAGAAAGAGCTTATGATTTGCGTGTATATAGATAAAATGCTTGTTTGTAAATATACCTTTGTCTTCCTCGATTCCAGAGAAAAAAACAATAAATTTGCCTAGCATCATTTTGGACAAAATTAAATAAGGGTTTATATCTGCTTCCTTTCTTAAACATGAATCTAGTTGCATCAAGAATTTACTTATGCGCAAAATTCGTTAACGATTTTAAATAAAGGAACCCTTGTTGTTGTAATAGCTGATTCTCGGGATTGATCGCTGCCGTATTGAAAATGGGTTAGTAAAGGCATTAATTGAAGTTTCTTTGGATTAGAAGCAAAAAGCTTGGATTTGGTCCTGTATTGAGGTAATGAAAGATCTAATGCAGGGATTGTAATGCATTTTGGCCAAGTAAAGATTCTTCTCTAAATACCTCCTTTTATTTTTCGTTCACAAAAGAAACGTCACAAAGTTACCAAGATAAAAACGGGATGTTTTGTTTGAAAATATGGAATCCTTTCGGCACATACATGGCATCTTTCACAATGAAAATCTTTGATATATACATATATATATATATATATATATATATATATATATATATATATATATATATTGATATGATACAACTGCAACATATGATTAAATATAAGGCATCCTAGCATTGGTCCAGAGGCATCCAAAGAATACATTATTTACAATAGATATTTGCATTTCACTGAAAGTTCACCCTGACTGGCAGCGGAAGTGGCAGAGGGAGAGGTGACACTGGCGGCAACTTCTTCAGCAGCGAAAGGGTCTTCTTGAGCAGAAGGCCAGGCGCACCTCGTTTCACTTGGCTGTGAAGGGCGTCACGCACCTGGAGATCTGACAGCATCAAGGAGCTTCTGTCATTCAGCTGTTTGTTGGTCCGCCGAGAAGGAGGGCCGACGCCAAGGTTATTGCGAGAAGCTTCATTGTGCTGCTGGGTGGTGTGCAGGGCCTGAAATAATGATAATTTTTATATGTTGAAGAGATTGGGATACATGAATCGGTAGGTGACTTATAGCAATAGGGAAAGGTTTGTGTGTTTGCTACAACATAGTTTGATCGCAAACTCGTGCATACATGCATGTGTATAAATGTATATATATATATATATATATATATATATATATATATATATATATATATATATATATACAATGTGTATATATATACATATATATACACGTGTGTGTGTGTGTGCGTGTTTATGTGTGTATATACATATAGACAGATAAATAAATAGACAAGTAGATATACAACTATATATTTCTATTATTATTTACATAGGTTTGGACGTTAAATTGCTAAATATGTGAAAAGGTGACAGACATCGTCAGAAAACCGATTGTGATATAGAACAGTATTAGAGCTTTGTTGAATCATGGCTGCCAT